CGCACATCATCTCCACCGTGGCGTGGGAGGGTAGGCTGAAAATATAGTTTAGTCGAGGCGACGTTGCTCACGAAGACGACTCAAGGAAACACAAGTGAGAGCGATCAGCCGTCACAGCAGCAACACACAGAATACAGATGCCGGCCGGTCCGTGACTCCATCATAACTGTACGCAAGAATTTTTCACAATGCGCTAAGAGAAACCGTCATTGTGTCACCCGCAACTAACCTTGTCTATTGCGTGAGCATCAGTTAGGTCTCAGCTTTGCGAATACCTCCTCGAGTGTGAAGGTCTGCTAATTTCGAATGCTGTAAGGAAAAGTAGGGATGCAACAACATGTCGAGAAAATCAAATATATCTTGCAAATCTCGTGTTTCCTCAATGATGGAAAAAAGGCGGTTACTGCGCGCGCCTCAAAATTCTCATCGCGCCACCCTTGCCTGGACCACAGGCGAGAATCTAAAGTTGCGAATTCCCCCAGAAGAGGAAGGGTAGGTGAAAGCGGAGAAAGGGAAACCCGAAACCCGACGGGAAAAGCAGAAACCCGAACTGTTATCCAAGGCCAAGCTGTAACCCAAGTGTCGCGAAGTAGAAATTAGTGGCGGAAAAAGAAAAAAGTAGCGCGTGTAGAGGCGATACAGAAACAACCGGCGAGTATTCGGCTCGGCCTCTCAGAAGGTGTCAAGTTGACACTGTCAACTACTGCATTGGGGTGATAGTCGACTGCGAAAGATCTCTATTGTCGGTTTGTGACAGTATGTGACCGCGCCCGGTTCCGTTGCTGCCAGTACCACTTCTGTCAATACCCTGGCCCCTCCCAAGATCGACTACAAGGTCAGTGCTGGTAGGTGTACAATTGACTTCATCATTGTGCTGTATATCCCATCGCAAGTTCGTCAATATCCGTTGACGTTCTGACCGTGATCTTCTTCCCTCTGGCCTAGTTACCGTGTCGTTGCAAAGACTGCCAACCGGTCGACCGAAATTGTGCCTTCTGTGACATCGGAATCGTAGTATTCATCACAATCTGATAAGACATCATGTGCGTATGGCTGTGGCCATTCATGCCAGCAGGCAGATCATAAGCCACCGATGGCGAGGGTCGACGAGAAAATGCTCATCACTTTGTAGTATCCTGCTCTTAGATCGATGCCCGATCAGCATGCTAATTGTTGTTGACTCCATTATGAATTGGGTTACTCCTGGGGATACTTCAGCGCGTTTCTTTTCGGATCACCGTTAAGCATGGCGAATTCAGGTTCGTACGGTACCGCCGAGCCGCTGGCCCCCGTAGTCACCCCCGAACTCGGCCACTCACCTGACTTGGTGCCATGCAAGCGTTGTGGTCATGATGGCTTGACGATTGTGGAGCATCGAAGCTCTTGCGGTAGGCCGGATCCCTATTGGTCATCACGATTCCGAATGGTCAGGCACGTACATTTGTTGTTGCATCCTGCTTCTCATCTTCTTCCCGCTATTCTGGTTACCCTTTTTCTGTCAAAGCTGCCAGGAAGCTGACCACATCTGCGCAGCCTGTGGTGAATTAGTTGGCAAGAAAGTCTTCATCACTGAATGATAAATTATACTCATGTGTTCATAAACTTTACACTAATGATGTTTGTATGAACTCACGGGCTGAGTTGTGTTGTGACTACTTCAGGAGCAAGTCGGCTTTCCTCAGGGCGTTCGGTTACCCAACGGAAAAAACAGAATGACGATATGCGCCGACTAACATGTCGGGCACATTAACACAGAGGATGAGCCGCGAGACGATTGGCGGGCCCTCTGACACCCAATCAAGTAGCCCTCCCAGAAAATTACGAACAGGATAAATGGGAGTAGCGGCTGATACTCATCAGTGTGTGACTAAGCCGAGTACTGTAGCATTGCAGTTGCAGTGTTTGCCTTCCGAAGTCACCAGCGATAGCAGGGCTAGCAGTGATGCACCTTCTCACAGAGGAATCAACTCAGCTGACTTTTTAAGCAGGCGTAATAGTGCCCGTACCTTCTCACAGAGGAATCAACTCAGCTGACTTTTTAAGCAGGCGTAATAGTGCCCGTCGTGTAACTACATGTTGGTAGCTTTATTCTGCTACCTCACAGCTTCGTGACTGAATAGTGAAACACATCTTCCATATCAGCAAGATGCTTACCTTACTAGTGAGGCAATGGGTGGAACTACACGGCTAATTTCCTCTGTGGCCATCTGAGCCCGTTGGGCTTGTGTCAACTCAATTACACTCAGAATGATTTCCGATTAGTGTTGTTCATGAAATCACTTGCATTTAATCTTAGCTTCAGATGGTGCTAGACGAGATCAGCCGCAAGCCCAGAGCTTCGCACAAATCTTGCCCGCGAGTATATGCGCTCGTTGAAGGGGTTGGGAATACACTCGTTCACTAACTCCACACCAGAGATCAAAAACGATTCCGAAATGAACATGGGCTATAAAGAGATGCTGCCCTCTCTAAAATCACTGCTGGACAACATAGCATTAATAAGTACTGGGCCACGACACTGCAATGCGGCCTGAACACATCCATGCTCGCCAACTGAAGTGAGAGGCTTCCATCACGCTCACCGTACGGGCCATACTCAGAACATCTTCTATATCGGATTCCTTCTCGAGAAGAAAACCTACATTGCCACCGTAACCTTCGGCTGCTACGTGGTAGTCAACGTGGGCGCCTGAGGACGAGCCAGCGTCCTGCAGCTTGGGTACAGTAGCCCACCTAGCACTGTTGCGATAGGATCTTTCAACAGCCGCACTTGGTCTCGATACCTGCCCTCAGTGTTGCTTCATAGAGAAAGAGAAAAGCGCCCTCACATTTGGTTCCACTTGCCATCATTCCCAACGATAGCTACGCAGGGTATCTTATGTCGTTTCATCGTCTCGAACTCGGCCAGAGACCAAGCCACGCTGCCGTCACCCCAGAGGATCCATACAGGCTCTACTGCAGACTCTCCTG